AGACTTTATATCAAGGCAAATGCATTTCTTCTAAAAATATATATTTTATAAAATATGTATTTCCTGTGGATTTATGAGGTTATACATAATATCATGTGGAACAGGGTAGAACAACACGATCATGTGTTACATAGTCATCTAAAACTGAACAGAATTAAGATATTTTCATCTGAAAACATATTTTCAGATATTGATTCTAAAAATATGTTCTTACACATTAGGAATCTATACATGAGAGAAATGCCCGTATTCTAAAATAAAACTACTTTTAAATAACATTTAAGTGTTTACTTCATTATTACACCTTTTTCATATATATAAATATATATGAAACAGATTTAAACAGATATTTGTATACATATAATTATACAATTTCAATATTTTACAATGTAAATTGCTTTGAAAGCTGCACATGAGCTGTCTTATAGTCTGATGCTTTCACTTAAAATTAATCATAAGTGATATACTGGTTATTGGCCTCTTTCTCTGCTATCTCGCATCTAAAAGATGCGATGAAGGAGTTCATCTATCCTCATCTTGTTTCACTTTCCCCAGTCAAAGCCTGTTTTTCTGAAGTAGGTACTTCCATCATTAAGGTAAATGTTAGTGCAATATCGAAAATATTTTTCCCCTGGGAAATAACATCATGTATATGACCTATTTGAGTATTTTCTATAAAGAAACATATAGATTACTTACAAATTACTCATTGTTTCAAGAAAATAGTAATTGTTACAGTTTAAAATAATTCAATAGAACTCACAATAATTCTGTATGTTTGTCTAGGTGTATGTGTTACATGTATATGTTTGATTCAGGGTCTCACTATGTAGTCCAAGTTGGTCTGCAATTTGCAATCCTGCTTCTGCATCCTGAGTTCTGGTTTACAAATGTGTCAATATGCCTGGCTCACAATATTTCCTTTAAGATCAGTTATAAGGACTAAGACAACAGAGGAGAAGTTATAATTAAGGTTTTTCCATTAACACCAAGTTATCATTCAGCTAAGTTATAACACATCATGAAGTGGTAGGGCCAAATGTGATGACTCATGGGGTCCATTTTTCTATTGCCCCATCCTTCACCATTTATTAGATATTACTGATCTTTTAGCATTGCTTTAATTTTAAAAAATATTTATTTTTATTTTATGTGTATGAGTGTTATGCATGCATGTAGGTAAGTGCACCCATGTCGCACAATGCCCACAGAGGACAGAAGAGGCTGTCAGAGCCCCTAGAACTGGACTTACAGACAGCTGTTAGCTGCCATGTGGGTGCTGGGATTTGAACCCTGGTCTTCTGCAAGAACAGTCAGTGTTCTTAACCACTGAGACATCTCTTCAGCCCCTTAACATTGCTTTTCAAATAGCTTCTTCCTTCAGTGGATAAATTGTGAATGCTTGTATTTTTCTTTAAATATTATAGTATAAAATCTAGAAAGAAACTTTTTGTATCTTTTTGACAATAACATAGTTATTCCTTCTTTGAAATTCTACTGATTGCTTGACAGGAAGATACAGGAGGAATGGAGTGAGCTGTTCATATTGATGTTTTCCCTGTATATCTCCCTCAGTTTTACTTAAAACTTACAAATTTACAACACAGAGGTTAAAAAAAAATTTGGAAGATTCTTGAAAGTAGACACTGTTAGAATTAAAAACAAGATGAACAGCTTCCAGTACAATGGAGAAGTTAAAAGCAACTAAGTAGTGATTCAAAATATCAGAAGAAAATGGATATAATGAAGCAAATGAGGCAAGAGAAAGAGAGAGGTGGGGGGAAGAAAGAGAACAAAGGGAGTTTAGGGCCATCGTCTTCCTGGATAGGACAGAAGAGAAAAGAAGTCAGTTTTGAGATATCATCTGAGTCAGTGAGATGGCTTAGCTGGTAAGGCACTTGACATGCAAGCCTGGTGACCTGAGTTCAATCCTTGAAACCCCCAAAGAGGTGAAGGAGAGAACCAATTACACAAAGTTGTCAACTGGTCTCCACACAGAGGTGCCATGACATCCACCCACATGTATATGCATGGACACAGACACAGACACACACAGACACACACACACACACAATAATGATAATTTTTTAAAAAGAAACCATTACACTCCATCACACAAGGAATTTGAACATCTAAAATAATTGGTAATGATTAAATGATTATAGGCAGTGGAGAAACACTATCAACTTTGTGCAGCTCAAATGTATTCAAAAGTAAAAGTGTATGATAATGGATTATTGCTATAATCCAGGTGACAAATAACTATGATCACAACTAAGATAAACTATGGCAGTGAAAATGGGTTGGCAGGAAAATAACAGATCCCAGTAATAATAGAGTCATGCAATTCACGCCCTCAGTGAGGGATAGGTAATGAAAACAGTCCCACATGACTCCATGATGAATGGTGGTAGGCTCACTGCAACAGGAAATGCAGGGTCAAAGGACTGTAGAGGTAATACTGTGTATTGTAGTCTATATCATGATGATCAAAGATGATTTGGGATAGAGAAACAGGATTATGAGCTATGGATTCATAGAATAGGTATTAATTTTCAGCCTTAGGGAGACAATCTATCAGTAGATCCAGTGGAAGTACACTTTTTTAAACATTCTTTTTACTAGCTCATCAGGTATATGGATGGAAGTAGTGATGCCTGTGGAGTGACTTCAGAACCCGTAACTGAGGTATTGGCCCATCCGCTACTTGTTACTCTCCCTTCAATTTGTTAACTAAGATTGAAGAGAGTATTAGTTCTCAAAGTGTGTAACACTAACACAGAAAAGTTTTCTAGGAATTTATAGCTGAAGTGACTCCTCTTCATGTATTTTCTCATCTGTTGAATGTGACCTGGGTTTTCTTTAGAGACAGAGAAACAGATTAGAATAAATTGGCTTAAGAATGCTGTCATTAACATATCCTGTGAAGAAGAAAAACTACATAGTGTTCAGTGCCAAATGGGTGAGGTATTTCTGGTATTTGGCCAACTAGGATAAATTTAATCAACAACATTTATGCAATAAGCCAAGAATTCCACTAAAAATGTAAGATTGTGTTAATACAGAGTTATACTTAAATTTTCCTAAGAAAATAAAAAGAGACAGTAGAAAATCAAGCATTGTTTTCAAAGAGAAAGTTAATTTAATCAGAGTTTCTCACTTTGAAACTTTGCACATATCTGAGCAGTGTATTTGTTCTTCTTTTCCCTTTTTTTAGTGGCGCAAGTCCTCACATGCTTGGTTTTGGGAGATGAGGAGTGTCTTAATTTTGGGTTTTCAGGAGCTTTACCAGTTATGAACTCAAGCCAGGAGACCCGTGGAGGCAGCCTGTGGTAACTTCTTATCTTTGCAAGGACGTAATCTGAGGGAGGAGGTGGACATGAGTCTTTGGAAAGAGAGGGTAGAGAGGGAATGCCAGAAGAGGAAGAGGAGGAAGAAGATGAAGAGGGAAAGGAAGAACAGGAAGAAGAGGGGGTTAGAACCTGGGACTGTGGCTGTAACCTACTACTGTTTTTAACATAAAGCAACTAGTCAATACCCTGGGGCTTCTGGCTTAGAAATTTGCACTCAGTCAAACACTTGTTTTTTGCCTTGAGCTCCTGCATAATATCAGATTCAGAAGCAGGGAAAAACTGTGTTATCTTCTCCAATTCAGTGTTCTCATGGAGGGTTTCCTCAAGCTGATTGTCTTTCACAGGAAGTGGGGAATAGGATGAAGTCTCTGGTAGAGAAAGGATAAGAACTATTTTCACATCTATTTTCGCATGAGAATTGGTCTCAGATGCTGGTATGACAAAGAGTGATGCACATCGAGGATCCTTCTTTCCTGTAAGGTGGCTACACTGAGATTTTATGCAGGAAGCACAGTCTAAGCAAACAGTATACACTGATGAAAGGTGGGGACCAGGACGAGGGTTTGGTTTTCCCTCTCATCCTTCTAAAGAGAATTTGCCTAGATAGATCCTTCTGGATTGTGGACATGGAGATAGAATTCACAATTTTATTTGCAATATCAGCAGGGATAGTCCCACCTTTAATAATGCAAGGATGACTATAATCTAAAGACCATGGGATTTCATTATCTGATTCTGTGGTCCCACTAAGTTCAAGGCTCCCTTTAGTTCGGAGTCTGGAACCCGTAACTGAAGCAACTCTGTTCCAGGTATAAGGCTTGGCACTTGATAATCTTTGACCTGAGATACTTGGTTTAGAATGAACTATTGGTAGTTGAGGGGCTCTGTGTTTGTTATTTTGTGAACTAGTGTTCTGCAACTTGGATTTACAAACTGGTGAACTAGGGATCTGGAAGTTACAATCAGTTCTAGGCATTGTCTTAGATTTGGGCCTGACCAATGGTGACCTCTGAGATGGGTGAGAAGACTGTGATAATAAAGATGATTTCCTAGATTTTAATTGGGACAACGGTAAACTCAGAACACTGTTATTAGAGTTTGATATGTGCACTTTCTGAGCTCTGGACTCAGGGAATAGTGACCTCTGAACCATTCCATTGGGCTCCAAAGAGGACAACATAGAAAGGCAATTAATCTCTTGAAGTTTGTTGTTGAGTGATTTGAGTTCATAGATCTTTGATTGCTTTCCAATAAAGATGTCCAAAGGCAGTCCAATGAGGATGCTTGCTGAGATTTAGATTGAAGTAGTGTTGAGCTGGGAGTACTTTGATTTGGTAGCAATGAAGGTGAAGTCCAGATCACATTTAGAGAAGTTGTCTCTTGATGTTAGAGGGAAGATAAAGATGATGTTGAGACAGTTTCAGCAGACTTCAATAAAAGTGATTTCCAGCAAAGGTCAAGGCTTGATGATGTTCTCTGAGGTTTTGGCAGGTGTAATCTTGAGCTCAGAGCTGTTTTACTGGCCTCTAATGATGACGTCTTCCTAAAGTTCAATGAAGATGTTGTCTGAGGTTTGGGTTGAGACAAAGATGAGTCCAGGCCTTTCGAAGTGGGACATAATGGACTTTTAGAGTAATGGCCTTGCAAAGGTGTCACTGGGCATTTAGAGTGGGATGATGATGATTTCTTAGATCTGTTATAGGAGCCTTGTTCAACTGTCACTTTAGATGTTGGAGTAGGCAATATAGAACAGCTGCGTATCTTCATGTTAGAGTTTAATGGGGGCACCATGACTGTAGCGTGAGATTGTTCTTTGGACACAAGTTGGTTATTGGGTTGATTTAGTCTTCCAACTGAATACTGATGTGTTAAGGAACTAATATTTGCTGGTTGATAAGAGTTGTCTAAAGGCACAGTGTTGATCCTGATATACTAGTGGTACCATCTTATGCAGTGGTAGAGATCTTTATAGAAGCAATTAGTTTACAGGGATGCTTTAATATCAGAGTCTTTTAAGCTAGAATCCATGGATAATGGACACTTAAATACTAGTAGTTTCTAATTTCTATCTTGTAATATTTCTATTAATTGGCAAATGTTAAAGGATGTCTCACAATTAAGTTGTAAATGGAGGAAAATGTCACCATTTGAAATTATCCTCTGTCTTCCCTTTAATTTTCAAGAGCTCGTTTTCTCTGTCTCTCTTGAAGAGGTAATTCCTGTTAACAAAACAGTGAAGAGAGTTCAAAAGCATTCCTTACAGGATATGATTTTTTTAAACTGTAACAACTAGAGCACAGACTTAGGCAGAATATGTAATCTAGCTACTTCATGTATCCGTTGAATTAGCTTTTTTAAATCCATTACTCATCTTTAAAATAGTTATATTTAATTTATTAACCTAAAGATTAAATGATGCATATAAATTTCAAACAGTGCCCAAGACATAAGTGCTAAAAAATAATAGTAATTATTTCTATTTTATTATTGCAGTAATTCAAAAAATACATGAAAAGATTTTTGTGTAAAACAAGAGAATCTTAGAGAAAACAGAAATAAAGTTTGAAAATACTGGTTTCAATTTGAGGTTCAGTTCCCATTATCAACACTTCTCGGCTTACTTCCAAGAATCTAAACATCTAGTTGAAAGTTTGCTATAATTTCTGCTTCTTTCTCTTTGTTGTTAGTGCAGTTTTGAAAACATGCCTTCCAAAACCATTATTTCTGTCTTATTTTCTACTATTTATCTCCAGGTTCCCACATTGTCCTTTATTTTGCTCTCACCTCAATACAGTGTTCAGTTGCATCAACATTTATCTTTTCATTGATTTCTAAGTAAGTACACCAGTTTTGTTTAGGAATTGAGGAACTACAGAAGCATCATAAGAAGGTTGAACCTCATTCCTGACCATAAGAGATGTATCTACTAACCAAAAGAGATAAATGGGCTACTTAAGAAATGAATTCTGTGACATGATACATTTTTACTTTTTCTTCCTTTTCCATCCTGCTACCATTCCAAATATCTTATGAAAACAGTGTATTCCTCATACTTGCAACTTATCCAAATATGTTAGCATCATATTATTGCTAAACACGTCCCTTTTTTGTCAAGGCAGCATTCACAGGCTTATTCCAAATCTACATGTATTTATTTCAAACATATCTTATGAATATCTTAGTTCACTTCTTTTCAGCTCTTGAGTCATTCCTTGTAGAATTCTGTAGGGACCAATTACAGTTACTGATGACATATCAATAAATTCCTAATACTCTTTAATCCTTGTTTCCTCTTCTTTTCAAAACGATTTCCAACTAATCATAAACTTCATATAAAAGTCTTGATGGTAATTAAAACACTAGACAAACAAAATTCAATTGATTTCATTCTCTTTCTAGGGAAACGTCCTTTCCTGTATCTTCTATTGAATTCCAAACACTCGGTCATCTGTATCAGAATCTTTGTAGTAATAGATGATATTTCCATCTTCCAAAGCTACTTAAATACCAATATTGATACTGCCTCTTGCATATCATAATCTACTATTTTTATAATCTCATTATTTCAGTTTTTCTATAAGATACATCTCATCCACATTAATTTTCTATTATAGTTACTTCTATAAATCTTTTCCCCATGAGCTAACTCTCTCCCCAAATTCTTCCATCAGACATGCAAATGTGAACTCTTGTCGGCAAAACACAATTGACAGTCACTCATGGATTTCTTTTCTTTTCCATGTTCTCAAAAGGAGTAATGAGCATGGACTTTTGATTTCTGGATTTGTTGTGGGGTAATGTGGTAACTTAATTTTAAAGACCTTAAAGAGAAAAGTTAATGCAATATACTGCATGGACCCCTAGGCTTCCTGATGGCAACATTCAGTAACCTGCTACGACCTTCCGTCCCCATTTTCACATGATCTCCTTATGGAATGGCCTTCTACACTTCTTTATGTAATGAACTTTCACTTCTACTTTGTTTAAAAATGAGGTTTGGAGTGTAATGCAATTCACAGAGTGTGAGAAATATACATAAATAATATAACACATGTATAAGAAAAACAGAATTGGAGACTAATCACTGCTGAGTCAGGGAGAGTAGGCCTTACTTACAATCTCTAGATATGCTGACTGGACTCCAGTGGATGAATCTGTACCAAAGGACATCTGGGTACAAATGCTTGACTGGATAGGACTCAACATGTACAGTGGAATATATCAGGTCTGGTGGGGGGTGGGCATGGGAGGGTCATGAATGGGGGATATGGTCTAAATATGATTAAGAACTGTTGTATGAAATGTACTAAAGCTGTATAAAAATTTTTAAAAAACAGAAAAACAAGCTGGGCGTGGCAGCCCATGCCTTTAATCCCAACACTTGGGAGGCAGAAGCAGGCAGATCTCTGTGAGTTCAAGGCCAGCCTGGTCTACGTAGTGATAGTGAGTTCCAGGACAGCTGGGCTTACAGGGAGACCTTGTCTCAAAAGACCAAAAATAAATAAATAATAAATAAACAAATAAATAAATAAATAAATAAATAAACAAACAGAGATGCAAAAGAACAATTTATATTGATAATCTTTGGTGATTACTAAGAGAGAAAAGACAAGTAGCACAATTAGAAAGATGAGTAAAACACATGAACAGACCCTTCATAAATGAGGATATTGAAATGGTCAGCACCCATATGAAGAGTAAAGCTCAAAAATCAATGAAGTGATTGTTTAACAGCTGGGAAGTAAATTAGTCAATAGCATCAGAATGTGACAGCCATAAAAGGAAAACTGAAAAAGTCAATACCTGCTGAGCTATGTATTAACTAGAGCTCTTATCTATTGCTCTAGTAAACAGAAACTGGAACAGCCATTTTTGAAAATTACATAGTGTTGTCATTTAATATTAATATAATTCATGTTATTAGAAACTGGCAGATGGTTCAGTGGTTAGGAGCACTTGCTGTTCTTGTAGAGGGCCTGGGTTCAGCTCCCAGAACCACCATGACAGCTAACAACAATCCATAACTCCAGTTTCAGGAGGGATCTGACTCCTTATCCTGGCCTCCTGTGGGCACTGCATGCACATGATGCACTTACTTGAACATATGAAAAACACTCACACACATAAAAATAAAACTAAATAAATTAAAGAGAGAGAACTTGTACTTCTAAGAATATTACAAAAGACATGAAGTACATGTAATAGGGTGTTCACTGGAATATTATTAATTATAACTGCAAATTTTAATCTAGTGTTTGTCAATAGAAGAATATATAAATAATATATATTCATTTGAAGGAATATGAAACTGTGAAAACTAACAGAAAATATTGCACCATTCAGCCACATTGATGAATCTCACATAGAAAATATTAAATGAAACATACACATACTCACACACATATTCACAAAATATTTCATGCTTTTAGTATGAGACTACAAAAGAGGTCATTCTAACCATATCATTCAAAATCTGTATGACAGTGCTTGGTGAGGTAGATCTTAGGAGAACATGAAAAGAGGCTTCAGGGAAAGTGGTACTGTTCTGTTCCTGGACCTACAGCCAGACTGTATGGACTTGGTGATAACTGAGCTCTAGCACCTGTGCTGTGTGTGTTTAGATTCCTTTACAGAAATAAAAAGTGGAGAAATTACATAGCTTGATGATAATTGGAAAAGACACATCTGAAACAAAATTGTGCCAAAAGGTAAAACATTAAAGGGCAAGATCTGGCTAACAGATGTGATGGGAGAGAGAGAGAGAGAGAGAGAGAGAGAGAGAGAGAGAGAGAGAGAGAGAGAAAATCTGGCTATCAAATCCACAAAAATAAAGGGATTAAAAAGTAAATGGAATGACCAATAATCTCCATAAGGCATAAAACAAAGAAATCAAAAGTTGTGAACATTTTGGCCTTTAGAAATATTCAGCAAATCACATTTCCGTTTAAAAATACATTTAGCTATAAGCATGGAAATATTACAGATAGCTAAAGAACCACTAGAAATTTGAATGAAGCTCAAAAGTATTAAAGAAATTAAAGACCTCTATGAAATCAAGTCAAATATTGCATCTACTCAGATTCATTGCATTCTTGAATAGGTTCAAACTTCCCATGAATATATCATTACAATGCTAAAGTTCTTCAGAGTAAGATAAATATAGAAAAATTGTCAATTTGTTCTATGAAAGTGTTCTGTATAATTCTGATATTTAATCATGCAAAGGCAGTATAAAATTCAAGGGAAAATAATAAATTGGCATTATTTTTTCATAAGTGGAAATTTCTGAAACATTTAACATTAAAATAATAATTTAACAAAACCAACTTTATGCTATTCAAACAAAGCAATTATTATTAGAAAATACTATAAGTTACTGTACTGATAATTCATAAGTAAATATTAATAGATGCTTTTAAAGGTCAGTAAATAAAATTAACTTCAATTCCTCAAAGAAGTCAGTGAACTAAGAAAAATTTAGCTATGTGATGGTACCAAATATCACTCAGATATCAGCAAGAGTGAACTATTTAGATGGTCCTGAAATATAAGCTATTCCTATTAGAAGCATTGCACAACACAGGTGCACTTAAAAGCATGCAGGCAACACACTCATACACATAAAATAAAAATGATAAATAAAATATTTTTTAAAAAGGGGGGCTGGAGAGATGGTTCAGAAGTTAAGAGCACTGACTGCTCTTATAGAGGACATGGGTTCGATACCCACATGGCAGCTAGCAACCATCCATAACTCCAGTTCCAGGGAATCTGACACCTTCTTCTGACCTCCAAAGGCATTGCATGACATGGGTGCACTTACACACATGCAGGCAAAACATTCAAACACATAAAAAATAATAAAATGTTTTGAAAACAAATATGAATAAACACGTAAAAGGTATAGAGAAGAAATATATCCCTAGCAATGAAGGAAAAATAATT